CTATATATACATTAAATCATATGTAAAAGTAACAGCTGAGCTTTTTCTATGTCAACTAAAGAACGACAGCTGTGCTCTTATATAACTCGAAAAATATTCGTTTACTTTATCAAATATACTTAGTAATTAATTTCATCAACAAACTCTCACTACGCTTAGCCAAAAAAAAAAAAACAAACGAACTTTTTTTCAATCGTAATACAATCTTTCAATAAACTTGAGTCATGTGAAATATGAGAAATAAACGAAATCTATCTGACTCGTAAATCATAATAAATCGAACAAAATCTAAATGAAAATTTTTCTTTAAACTATCTATTTTATTTATATACTAAAAAACATAAAGAATTTCAAAGTCTATAAAACTTTATACTTTAGTTTTAAACAGAACTTCTTATTTCTTTCTATAACATTCCAAATACTTACGTATTCTGGATGTTTCAATTGTGATGTAATGTTGTTTGTACTTTTCAAAAGTATGCAGCATCATATAATTGGATCTTTAAAACAAACAATTGACTGATCTATTTTCGAATATCTAAATTTTTCTAGCAGACTCAAAATTCCAGTGAATGTATGTCTCTAGATTTTTAAGTTAAACTTCATCTAAACAACAGTACTTTATCTAAAGTTAGAGCCAAGGGAGCAACACTGTTCCGAAGTTTATGATTATTCTACTATTTAATATGCATCTGTGCTTTCAAAAAACAAAAGGTGTTCGCCCTTGTGGAAGAGAAGATATGAATAAAAAACTGTTGCAAAGTTTCAAAATTTTTCATAGAAAAAAAAAATTCAAAAATTTTAATCTCTATAAAACTATACCAGTGAACCAATGCACGACATCTCTGCACAAAATTCGTCGAAAAAATGAATAGATTCTTATACAGATGTAAAACTCAACCATCGCCTTTTTCTATTTACTTTGTAACCTAGTGGATTTATATAAAAGAAAGCAAAAGTTCTTGTTTGTAGACCTTGAAATTGTTTGTCTTCTAGCATAGAAAAACTTGATTCTTTTTTATTGGAAAAAGTCACATGTAAGAGAAAAATTTCATTTATATTTAGTTCGATTTATTATGAGCTGTCTATTATTTTTGACAATAATTACTTCGAATATCATTTTATTCATTCTATATAGTCTAATCGGAAGAAGTCAATAATCATATTATTATAACGGAAGAACAATAAAATTTTATTTGATTAAATCAAATTACAAGAGTGTAATATTAATGAGAATTCTATTGAGAAAAAAATTAACATAGAAAACTATGAAAGATAAATGTTGTATAAAGTGTTCTTTTGATTGTTTTTTCTTTCTTTTCAAAAACAAAATTCTAATGACTCAATTAATTATGCATTTATTGATTAACATTTACTTTTGTTATTATTTGGATAAACGAATACTGGATTATAAATTCGTCCTTGAAAAAAAAAAATACTTTATCAAATAATCCGAATTATTCATTTGTCAATAGACAAGAATGAGATTCCAAAGTTCTGTGAAAATCAATTATCTTATCTATTATTCTGAATACATCATAAATAACAGATGTCTGTCGACATATAGTTAGTTACATTATAAGCGTCTCCTTAGAAGAAGAATATTCATAAGCATAACTCAATAAACTAGACTTGCCGATAGAAATTTGCTTCCAGTGGCGGATGTAGAATTTTATTAAAGGATTACGATCAAAGTCATAAAACTCATTTTGAAGCTCATTATTAGGGGTTTTCTGTTTAAAAAAAAGCCAAAAATAATTTCGAAAGGTAGTGACAATTGTTTCTAATGCACTACCTTACTCTTAATTCGCTATTGTTTAGTTTCTATTCATAAAATTGATAGAGATGACAAATATTGCCTATTAATTAGCTCTATCCGACGTTAATTGTTAATAAAAGTGAACATATCACAAAAAAAAAAGTCGATGAGAAATTTCTTTATGAATTCTTTTTATCCAATATTATTAATTATATCTGAGATAATAATATTAGACAAAGTAAAGTAATAAATCTCTATACTAACAAAAAAAACTATAAAATTTTATGATCCTTTTTCCCATTATTTGATTATCATACCTGCTGTTCGAAACTGCTTTAAATTTGATCTATTCGGCATGACATTCAAACTTTAATATGAATGATAGTAATCGAACAATTATTCTCAAGTCTTTTTCTTTTTCTTTCTCTCCTTACCTAGAAAATGTGTCTGCACGCAATGCATTGAATCGATTGATATCAAATTCTAACTTGCTTGCTAAACATACAATATGCATATATACAATAACAACTCAATATACAGTGACACGGTCATTCAACACATGATGAGTGTTTGACAAATCATATTCTTGTTATTTTTTTCTTTCTTATATGTATATTTTACCTGACGTTTGTCGTGCACGTCCCATACCAGTACGAATTTCGCCAATGGATATTGATGGCGAGTCATCTTGATTACTTTTATCAAATTTATGCATTGACTTTTAATAACGAATGATGTTGATATGTAAAGAAATAAATATAAGAGATGACTAGACCATATATATATATATGTATATGTATATGCTGTCCAAAGTCGAACAATCTATTTGATTGACAGCGATAAAATGATCTAAAATGATACATCACAATTATTTTCGGGTCTAAAAAGCTTTCTCCACATGGCTTATTTTTTCTTCTTTCTCTTCGGTTTTTTTTTCTTCTTTTCTTATAGAGTTAGTTGACGCTCGTTTTTTTTTGTGTTCTAGTTATGACCTTGAGTGTTCTTGCACAATCCCGATAAAAGAACCTGAATGACAAAAATAACTATAAAACAACATATACAATGTCAATGGTTTTTTTTTCTTGTATTCATAAAAGAAAAGCCTGAGCGTTCAGTATTTTTTTTTTTTGTGAAAGTTGAATATTTGTTAACATAAATGTGTACTGCTGCTAAACAAGTACTTCTTGCAGAGACATGGAGTGAAGATATTGATCCAACAGGATGGTGGATGAGTGAAAAACTTGACGGTGTTCGGTATGTGAATTCAAATATTTTTCATTCTTTTGGTTGACAAATATGTTGACTTTTAGAGCTTATTGGAATGGAAGTAATTTTTATTCTCGTCAAGGAAATTTATTTCACGTACCTGATTTCTTCAAGGTCAACCTTCCAAAATTGCCTCTAGATGGAGAAATATGGTAGATTTATTTGGATCTTGTTTTTTTTTTCTTCTGTTAAATGTGTTTTTAAATAGGTGTGGGCGTGGTCTATTTCAAAAATGTATTAGTATTGTGAAAAAACAAGCTAATAAAGTTGTGCCTGATGATTATAAACTTCTGACGTATTTAGTTTTTGATGCACCAAGTCATGGTGGAAAATATGAAGATCGTGTTAAATGGTTACAAGCTAATATTTCGCAAGATGATGATAAATGTTATGCTTCAGTAGTTGGTATAAAAAAATGTCAAGGTCTTGCTGATCTCAAACAATGTTTAGCTGATGTAAATGCCGCTGGCGGAGAAGGTATTATGCTTCGTAAACCAGGAAGTCTTTATGAGACTAAACGTTCATCAACATTACTTAAAGTAAAAACTTTTTATGATGAAGGTAAAATAGGTTTACATTAAAAGCAAAAATCGAATCATTAAAAACAGAGAATGTTTTTTTACCCCTGTTTTCTAGAAGCTCTTGTCGTTGGTCATAAACCTGGTAAAGGTAATTGTACAGGAATGTTAGGCGCTCTGGAATGTAAATTACCTAATGGAAAACGATTCGATGTTGGTAGTGGATTTAATATGGATCAACGTCGAAAACCACCTAAAATAGGTTCAGTTATAACATTTAAATTTCAAGAATTATCTAATTCGGGCTCTCCACGTTTTCCTGTATTTCTACGAATTCGTACTGATTTAACTTGGAATGATGTACTTGAAGCAGCTAAAACAAAAAAACCTATTAGTGTTATACAAAAAGTTATACCATCTACAAAATTATCTAAACAACATTCCATATTATTTTCAGTCATTCCATCACGTGATGCAAAAACTGGAAAAAAAATAATTACTTCTGACGATGAATGTGAACAACCAACAGTTGCATCATCATCAAAAACAACAGATACACGTGAAGTATGTCAATACGGTGAAAAATGTTATCGAACAAATCCAGATCATCTCAAACAATATCAACATCCATTATCAAGAAGAAAACGACAAGTAACAAAAAGTAAAATAGAAACAAAATCACCTTGTAAATTTGGAACAAAATGTAATCGACAAAGTTCAATTCATTTAGCAAGTTATTCTCATGCTTCAAAATCTCAATCAGAAGATCCATTAGATATATCAGCTCAAGAAGAAATACTTGATCCACATGAATTAATCGAAACTGAAGAACCTGCATCACCAACAACAACAGATAATTTACTTGTCAACGATAAAAATAAAGGTCGTCAATTTAATGATGATGATAAGGATAATGATGATGAACAACAGAGCAGTACACGTACAAAAACAAATAAACGAAAACGAAATCTTGAAGAAAAATCAAATATTAAACCAACGAGAAAACGTATTAAAAAATCTTAAACTTGCATATTTATAAAGACAAATATTTTGGTTTATTTTATTTATCATTACTCTTCAAAACAAAAAAAAAAATAATAAGAATAAAATCTGGTATTCATCTCTTTAGTTGAGATCCATACATACACACATAAATACATATTCAAACAAAAACAAAATTTAATAAGTTAATTAAATAGGACAACAAAAAAAAAAATATATATATATATATAAATAAATATATGTATAGACGAGAAAAAGAAATCATTTTTGATTTTTTTTTTTCGTTTTGGTTAGAATATATATTTTTTTTTTTTCTACTAGACAATGATTGTCATCAGACAGTAGTATTCTTATATACAAATAAAAATAAAACAACAACGTAACAAAACAACACAGGGGGTCGTTCATGAGACAGGTGACTAGAGTGCATAGAAAATATTTTTCGACTGTGTACAGTATGATTATGAGAACGAAAGAGCGGAGAAAAAAAACAAAACGAAACACAGGGCTATTGGCGAAGTTATATTCACTGTCATACCTAAAAATAAAAATAAATAAAAATAATTGGTTAATATTTATTTTTTCTTTCTTTACTGTTTCTTGTATATTAGTAGTTTTTTCAATTATTGGAACATTTGTTGTTCGTTTATATGTTACATCACTAACACTTGATGGTGATCTTCCACGCCATGTTTCATATTTTGAGGATGATTCACCTGTTGTTGTTTCATTTGTTGAACTATGTTCATAAACTGTTGTTAAACTATTTGCTTTACGATTTAATTGATATCTATTGTCTTTATCTAATGGAAGATTTAAATCGAAACGATTTGTTGCTGGTAATAATGGTTCATTGACGTTGGAATGAAGTACAACATTATATTGTGATGTTGAAGGAATTGTTGCTGATAGAGATGAAGTTCGTTGATGTGGTATTTCATTTGCTGGAACAACATTATGTGAGAATGTTGATGAACCACATGATGTTAATGATATTGGTAATTGAAAATCGCCTAATTCTTCATCAGGTCCATCACCACTTGCATTAGCATTATGAGTATTTTTACGTTCCTTAAAAACAAAAAAAAAGATGTAAGTACTTGTTTGAGTTCGGTAGTGGATGAAGAATTTTGATAAAGGACGAGCGATCATAGTCACTAAATGTGTTTTGAAATCTATTAGAAATCCTATCGGCTCATTTTTAAGAGACGTTCGTTTCTAATATTTCTCGTCCCTATTTAAATCCTCCAGTGGTTAAATTAGAAAATATGAAGGTCATTTAGATTTAATAAACCAATCGAAAAAAGAAATCAGATCCATTATGCCTCAATAACATCACGTTATAAACAAGAATCACAAAGGAATGAAAAAAAACAAAGTTTTTAAGAATTTTATTGAAGTATATGATCAAAACAATAAATTCCTTGAGAATAAACCTCAAAATTATTATTGAGACAATAATTCCTTTCATGGAACGTTTTAGAATTATAAACCTTTAATTTTAGTGGCAAGTTCGAAGTTTCTGATTGATGGATTTCAGTAATAGATGAAGACGTATGTCAATTTAATAATTCATTCTAATTTTTAATAGAACTTTATTTTGTTCATGACGACAAGACTTTAATAAAGGATTTATTAAAAAAAAAATATCATATTCATTTTTTAAACTATATTGAAAATGTTCGATTGATTAGAATATTATATTAATAGATGACACTATTTTACTTCATAGTTCAAATCAATTATCAAATCATGTAAAATTGATTTTTATAAAAGCGCAATTAAATACAAGTACAAGACTTAAAATAAAATAATATTCAATCTAAGGAAATTTATTATAGCTGAAATCGGTTGATTGAAATATTACGAAAGAAAATTTTCACGAATACTTTTTACTGAAAAAAAAACAAACTTTTAATTAAGAATAAATCGAAGGATATATCCTCAGTCATAGAAAATCTAGTTTCATTAGTAATTTAGTGCTTGTAAAACATTAACTTTAACTTTTCCAATAATGAATTAAGTTTAAGTGTTTCTATCAAAAGACTACTCGATTTAGTAATAACAAGAATAATGAATTGACAAGATCATGTTCTAAAAGTAACAACTAATTCATATTTGATAAGTGCCTGAGAAATGTGTCGGATGTGTTAGTCATAGAATACAAATAATGGATAAAAAAGTGTTTTGCACCCAGTTACAATCATCTATTGTAATATTTCTATCAAAATAAAATTGATTGATAGAAATAATAAAGGCTGTAAAATGAGCTATTTCGAATAATGAACATTTTCTTCAATAAAAATTCTATTGTTAACCTATATTCAATAGACTATTTGAGAAATATATTATATACATAGGATGGTTCATAAGTAGCTGTACGATAAAAAAAAATGTGAATCTCTTCACTCTATTCCATCATTTTATGAGGCTAATTTTTCTTTCCGTGATATACGAGACTTCAGCATCTTTTTCTCCATAAAAACAACATTTGATACGTATTATTTTGACGTATTATCATTGGCTTCAATAATGATTTTCTGTTTTTTTTTTACTGTATTAAATGTAGTCCTAATGAATCCCTTTATGCATACATGCGTTCATTGACGAATATATGCGATTGTGCATTTCTTTCTGCAATGTGTCACCGATATAGATATCTATGTTTTCTTAAATACAACGAAATAAAAGCGAGAATTACTTTGGTTATGCTCGTTGGTACTCATTAGTATAGAAGAATAGTTTAATTTAACAAGCCTTTGTTCTTCAGATCATGTGAAAAATCGACTTTAAACTTTGCACAAACAAAGTTCTCAATACGATGAATTCATTGAGTAAGTTGTAACTTTTCTTGTATCTCATATCTTGAGACATTCAATATTCGAAATTCTCTCATTTGCAAAATGCTAATTTACATCTCTAGAAAGGAGATACTAGTTACACAATTAAATAATCTCATTAAGAACTCCATTAGTGGAAAGTCTGAAGGCAGGATTCAATTTTCCATATGACCTAACAGAGACAAAAAAAACACTAAGTACACTTTCGATGTCTGAAGAACAAAGTACCGGAAAACCAAACCATTGCTGACTTTTCTATTATTCATCAAATAAATTTTTTTTTTATCGTAAGACTACTTATGGATTAGTGTATTTACATCATGCGACTTTTTTTTTTTGTAATGTTAACTTACGGTATTTATTTTATATGAATTTTTTCTTCGCCTTCGCCCTCGACAACACCACCATGCTCGAGGATTTAATAATAACTGACTATGTCGTGAACCAAAACGTGCTAAACCAGCAATTGTACTACCACCTGGAACAAGACTTGTTCCACCACCACTACTCATTAATATATCTGGACCCATTTCAACAAATTCGCGATCCTTAAAAAACGAACAAAAAGAGAAAAATATAACAAAGAAAGAAAAATATTCTTTTTTTCTTTTTTTTGCTTCATACAGTTGTTAATTCTAGACAACGAAGTAAATGATGATGTTGTAATTCAAATGGATTAACAATATTTTTATCCATTGATGTATTTGTATCATCAAGATTTTGTTCACGACGTTTTTTTGCTGCTACAAATGCATTACTTGTTGCATTACGTGCTAAACGTATACGTATTTGACGTGCTTTTCGTTGAGCTTTCATTTTATCTGCTCGTTGACTTTGATGATAAATACGACTAAAATTTGATACAATAACAGGTACAGGAAGAGCAATGACAAGTACACCACTTAAACTGCATACACCACCAACAAGTTTGCCTGCCCTATAATTATTTTTTTTAATAATAGATAAACCTTTTCTTGCTTTTATTTTTTAAACTTACCAAGTTTTTGGAACCATGTCACCATACCTAGAAAACAAGGCAAAACAAAAAAGAATATCTAATAAACATATTCTATATGCTTAAGTGATTAATATTGAATAAGTATTATTGACCTTGACATCTATAGCTTTTCTCACTAAGAAAATACATTAACATGACTTTCAATGATTCGTAAAGAACTATTAACTATCTATAAAATAATCTTAAAAATTTTTTAACATATATTATCCGATATATCTCATTTATTATTAGTAAATATCTATTATTCAATAACCTTTATATACAAAAAAAAAAAAAAAAAGAATATATAGTTTATTAAAATTTTCAAAATTTCTTACCCAAGTGTTGTCATTGTAACAATTGTATACCAAAATGCAGCTGGTATAGATGTAAATTTTGTATTAACAACACTTTTTTCAGCATAATACATAACAGTAGCAAATATAATAATTGCCATTGTTAATGAAAATAATAAAAATCCAAGTTCACTTGCACAACTTTTCAATGTATAACCTAATACTCTTAAACCTTGACTATGACGTGAAAATTTAAATATACGAAAAACACGAAATACACGTAATGTAACAAATGCTCCACTAACTTCACCTTTATGTGGCATAAATAAACTAATATAATATGGCATTATAGCAACAACATCAATAACAGACTAAAGAAAAAGATAAAGAAAAACAAATTTGTTTTATTTTTCTCGTTCCATATTGTTTACTTCTTATATTTATTCTCACCATAACAGATCGAACAAATTTTAATCGATCAGGTGCAGCATATAGACGAAGAAAATATTCAACAGTAAAAATCATGACACAAGCCGTATCAAGACAAAAAAATTGACGAGAAAAACGTTCACCACATGATCTTGGATAACCTGTTTCAGGATCAAGTCCACAAGCAACTGTATCTAAGACATTGGCAATAACACTAACAGCTATAAAAAATCCCGTTACATAATAAAATACAGATGCCATTGTTGATATTTGAGGATTTTCAAATGCACGCCACATACTTTCACGTAATGATTGAGGTTTTGGTTGAATTTTATCATCATCTTCATGTAGACGATCATCAAGAAGTCTTTCTGTATTTTCACGTTTACGATCTCGATAATCTTCATAACAACAATCACCAATAATATCGGGTAAAATTCCAAAAAAAGCTAATTCTTC